TTATGCTTGGTTAAGAATTCTATTGAAATCAGCAAACGAAAACATTCTGTTACGTCTCGATTCATTTGAGAAGCCATATAAACAACTCGAGCTCGTGTCTCACCGGGATATCCAAACACTCGAAAACAATGTATGAAAACACTCGCGCTTCGCACTCGTGTTCTCATACATTGTTTTCTCGTGTTTGGATATCCCGGTGAAACACTCACTCTCGTTGTTCATATATTACATCGTAAACAAGTAGTGCAATGCCAGAGCACTAGAACACATCTAATTGGAACTTAAATTTGCAATACAGTCAGCTGTTTGTTTCGTACCTCTGTTGAGAGTAACATCATTTGGAATAAACGCAATTTCATCCTGGACCTCGAGACACGGGTGTCTAGCTGCTGTAAGAATTACTGAACCTTGTTCTGGAAAAACAAAATATTTTATTACAGTTTCTTTAATCTTTTAAAAAGGCTGCACTGACATATTTTCCCGTCCAACGCTAGCAAGTCAAGGGACTGTTTATATGACAACACTTGGTCAAGTCAAGAGACTGTTTATACGACATACACGGTACAAACCTTTGGGCAAGATTTTCGGTCTGCAGTATGGTATAGGAGCACAAGCAGCCACATGGGAAAAACTACAGAAAAATAAATTGGAAAGGACATCTTTAACAGTTTTGCACAACTGGCAAAACTAGTACTTTCCCTGAAGTTAAAAAATTACCTTATTAAGACATCAAGTTTTGCCAGAGTATCACTTAGTAATTGCATGGGTTCACCGTAGCCACCTTAACAAAGGAAAATGTACGTGTAAAAATATGGGTCATGCATTTTTAGCCAATCTGGGACACCTGATGGGGGAGAACCACTGGGAGAACAGATCCCCTGATAGTGCCCCCCCTAATAGTGCCCTTTTTTGGCATTTGTACCTTAGGATCAGATCCTTGATTAGTTTTATGTTATATTCCTAAAAGATTAAGATTCTCAGTGCACTGAAATAATTCTTTTTCTGTAAAAATATAGCAAGACATCCAGTTTGACAACTTGTTAGTGTCACACAGTCACAGTGACCGAGTGTCGATTTATTTGATTATTTGCAGAACATTTTCAATGTTCTCTTGCCGTCCCAGAAGGGAAAATATTTTTTTCACTCCTGCCTCTTACTTGCTTCAATAAATCTTACTTGCAATTTTAATAACTTCGTCCGCCAGATTACTTTGAGTGTCATCATAACTTTGTTTCAAGGCTTGGAACTGATCGTTCAGTTGTCTTAACACAGAGTTTGTAAAACGTACGCCATCTTTTCTTGTGTCCAACGTGGTGAATTTCTTACTTCCGCGCAGTTTTTTCTCTTCCTGGAAAAGAGAAGCACACGAGAATGAATGATTCCAGCTATACCTTAAATTTCTTTAAAGGGACCGTTCATTATTTATACCAAGGGTTGGCACCGAAGAGAGACGAAAGACACTGCAAATTTTTTATTTACCCAACCTCAACAATGGTCAAAATAACCAGGTGATCTCGTGTTCGTATTTTAGCCAATCAGCGCTCAGAAAGGGTTCTCCGAATAGAAATCCATTTTGATGTATTCAGTCAATTATATCTTTCGTTATTCTTTATGAAACTAGTTGAAATTTTGTAATTATGTTTGCTTATGAGAACTATAGCTCTGACAAAAATATGGAATCGAAATAAAGTATATTACAGGAGATATTCAGTTGTTTTAATCATAAAATGGATTTCTATTTGACAACTAGTGACAGTACTTTTCCGCGTATCAAGATCATCTGGAATGTTCACCCAACCCATGCGTTACCGTAATGTACTTCATAATAATTATTACACACAGGATTATGGTGACAGAAATCAAGTTGCCTAAATTCTAAACTCAAACTCACTGAGTGTGCCAAAGCAATCACGTTCCTGCTGATCAATGATAGAATCCTCGATCACTGATGGTCTATTTTGGTACAGAATGTATTGTACATATTTTACTTCATATTTTCCAATGCATGGTAATTTTGGTTTTATTTTATACTGTAGCTGACTGACAGCCATAATTTCTGCTGCAGGTTTGTTACAACTTGTGCGTTTTTACGCGTGTATACATAATGAACGGTCCCTAACTTTGATTTTCTTAAATTAAACTTTAAACTAAACTTTAAATTTACTTAACTTTGATTTTCCTAACACTGAAACTAATCTGAAAATTTAACTGTTGAATTCAGCAATGTTTTTAAAAACCATATTAATGTGGCTTGCGCACAAAAATTGAGATCCAACAAGATTGTGATGGATAGAGAGATAGATAATCCGTTTAATGAAATCATCTAGCAGGTATAGAGCTGAATTACATGATTTATATACAAAGCATTTTTACAACTATTTACAAAATTATTAACCATTCTATAAAATTATCTCCAAGCTATGACAAACCTTCCTAGTGATACGAAGATAATATCCAAACTGGTTGTTTGTTTCCAATTTAATAGTTTTGCCAGCTTCTAAACCGAGTTCGTTCGCAGCCTGAGGACAGAATAAAATAGAAATTAGTGGATTCTAAAATATTAAGGCCTGTTTACACTGGATTTCTATTGCATGTAAAACCATCAAATACGTACTTTGTTCAGCTCTCGTGGAATCTTCTGCTGAAGTTCGTCCATTTTTTCTCTGCATTCTAAGTAAAAGACAATGAACCACGTCAGAAGCAAGGGGAGAGGGGTGCAAGGAAGGTGGTGGTTGCAAGGGGTGGGGGTGAAAGCGGGGGTGCAAGGGGGGGTCAACTTGGTAGCTGTATCCGTGGTTATATATACTACTTTCCGGTAGTAAAAAACATACGACAAAATGTAACACCTTAAGCATATGTAGTACGGTATTTAATCAAATTAGGCAATGTCAATACCAACCTTGCAGACCTTCATCAAAAGAAGGCTTGATAAGAAATTCGTGATTTTCAACTTGATCCAGGTCAATTGTTGTTTCAATTAACTCGATATACTTCGAAAAATCGTCTGTCAATCCCTGAAAAATACAAACTAAAGCTTGGCAAACTTTATTTATACGGCATAGTTCTGTCAGTTCTAAACTATTCGTCCTTGAGCTTCAGTAAAGATTGTCTCTTATGGGTCCGTTGTTACCCGAAGCAAAACTACGGTGTCTGGTAGACCCTGGACTCTGTAGCTCAGTTGGTTAGAGCGCCGCACCGGAATCGCAGGACGCAGGTTTGATTCCTACCAGAGGGTTTCATCTACAAATGACTTATGGTCTATTAGTTCTGTCGAACGAGATATCCAAAATTTTCGATATTCACCCATAAACAATAACACTGACCTGTAATGGTGCAATGAACAGTTCATTGATCAGCGGTCTGTGGTCGTCTTGGCAACCATCTAGACTAGTCACCAGTTCCTGCATTCTTCCCACGGCCTGATAAACCCTGACGCAGTCCTACGGGCAGAGCAAAGACTTTAAAACAATTTCAAACTCTAAAATGTGTAAAGACATCATTGATCTGATCAAACGTAAGCCAATAAAAACCTGAAGTGTTGCTCTATTTTTCTGAAACTTTTTCGCGATTCTTGAAAAATCTGGGAATTTCTTCAACTCTTCCTGTAAACAAAGTTCAATAAAACGTATTGCAATCATTGAACTATAAATAAACTGGAAGGATAACTGCTATGATGAAGGCCTATAATTTGCTGAAGCCAAAATAGTTTTTCTGAGTTATGAGCAGAGCCCCAAACGTTGGGCTACATATCAAGCTGAAGCTATTGAAAATTTCAATTCGATGTGGAAATTTCAAGACATCAGCGAAAAGAAAAATATTTTAAAAATACAAAAACAACTGCCATTCGGCCTTTTGTAGTATTTTAAAATTTTAAAATTTTGTAGTTTTTAAATATTTCCCTTTTAGTTTCCTGCAGTGTAATTTCCATGTTGTCTGCACATGTACTTTCTTTGGAGACACCATTCATGCCTCCTGACAAATCGGAGAATGATCAAGATAGTGATTCTGACTAATTTGATTTACATGTTGTATTGACATGTAGGCATTGCTTTTCATCAAAGTTATGCTTTGGAAATGACAATACATTTTTACTACCCAAACCTTCAGTTGTCTTGTTTTTCATTTACCCAACCTTTTACTCACTCAAAATTTTGTTTACCCAACCCTTTTCTCTTCGGCGACACCTCCTAGCTCCCCCCACCATAAACAATGACTAGCCCCTAGTAGTAACTACGCATGTGAGTTATCCGGCTAGATTGTGAACTGGGCATAAACAAACGTTTGTCTATTAACATTATTTCCTCACACTGATAATTATTTGTTAACCACCGTCTGCTGCAGAATCTACCTTACCTGAACAGTTTGTCGAAGAACAACATTATTGAAGAAAGCTTCGACAATATTGAGTCTTTCCTCTAAAAGTGGTTGTTAAAAATTTTTATTAGACAGGCCTACTGGAATATATCACAATCTGTAAAATAGATTTAAAATACAACAATTGCTAACCAATTTTTTTCTCGTCTAAAAGAGGTTGTTTTATCCACTGTCCGAGAAGTCTTTTGCCTTGGGGAGTCCTGCATTTATTTAACAAACCAAGCAGACTCACCGACTTATTAGAGCCTATAAAATCATAGAGAAAGCAACGATTGGAAGTCGACTAATAACGATTTAATTTACGAAAATTACTACATTATGTACTAGTTAAAACATGAGAAGCCGATCTTTATCTGATTAGAAACTCAGGCCGAAAGGCGAGAGTTTGTATATCAGATAAAGATCGGATGCGAATGTTTTACCGTGCTTAAAAATGACCCATCTTTTGAGTTCATTGGCGAAAAAATTTCAAAAATAAACATTGTGTAGGTCGAGAAAATCAAGGCTGAAGTTTATGTAAATCAGGACAAATCTTTATCCGATTTACAAACATTGATTAAACATTCATTTCTTTTGTATTTTCCTCATGAATTATTAAGAGAAGATTTTTTTGTATGTTACGTAACACGCGCTCAAAACTAATGCGTGTAATATATCACTTGAGGTTATGACTAAATTCAAAATTTTTATTTTTCGATACGTTTCTCAATCAGCAAACAAACTTAATTATTTATTTATTTATTTATTAACTTTACAACCATACATAAAACAGACTAAAAAACTACATAATATGGTTGAAGGTATGGTCAACAGGACATGAATAGCCCCATATGAAGACCAACCTTAATGAAAACAAACTATAACAAACATAAATCAAAGACGATAACAAATATAAAATTTACAGAAAACATGACGAATTACGAACAACAGCTTAAGTTGAAAGAGCGGCACTTAGAACAGAAGGTTTTCCAAGTGCGCATTCTGTTTACATCGAAAGATGAATGAAGTAGAGAAGAGTAATGAACAGTTAGTCTGTTTTTAAAGGAGGAAACCGATGAACTATTACGAATGGTGGGAGAGAGATTATTCCAGAGAAAGACAATTGGGTTGAAAAAAGAGCTCCTAAAGAGAGAAGTCCTGCAATGATTGACACGAAGCAAGTTGTCCGAACTTGAACGGGTGTGAGACGAGCTGTTTGAAGAAAAAGTGACGAAAGAGGAGATATCTAGGTCGAAGAGACCGTGCTTACATTTAAAAAAGAAGACGAGATCCTTTAGTTCCATCCAGTAGGATATTGGTAATAAATTAAGCTTTTTAAGGCGTTCAGGATATGGCAACTCATAATCCTGAAGGATAAATTTACTAGCTCGTCTTTGAACACCCTCGATGATCGCAAGATCACGTGACGATCCTTGAGGTGCCCAGATCTCACTACCATATGACAGATGAGATCGGACGAGAGCAAGATAAAGAATATAGCGCGAATATCAGACATTTGCGTAAATATATAGCGAATATCAGACATTTGCGTACAATTCCTACGAAGAAAACCAAGCATACGATTGGCTTTTGCAGTAAAAAGTATGTTTAGTGCTTTATATGTAAAATAATGCTAAAATGAAGAGATTTTAGATGATACGCCAAAGAGAAAATGATGTCTGAAGTTCAGTAAGTTTTGCTTATATGGCTGTAAATATGGCGTCAATTCAGTTAAAGCATCATTGATAATTGTATTTTAATTGACAATTTTTAACTATTATTTTATGTTTCTCAACCGGCAGATGCATTTAAAAAGGTAGCTAACTCTATAAACTAGGAAATAAAGCTAAAACAAAGTAATTTTAGAGGAACGCCAAAAAGATTTTAGGTTTTGAACTCTTTTCATCGCAAATACGTGACATTGAAAAAAATTGCCTCTTAATGAGTTTTTTAAACATATATACTGGATAGCTTTATCAGTTCTTAACTGTCCTCCGTAAAGTACAAGCTTTCGTTTGTAGGGATGTAACTATACCTGAAAAACATAAGGAGAATTTCAATTCTCCTTATAAACTTCAGGTAGTTGTATCCCTACAAACGAAAGCTTGTTCATTTGATTGGCACTACCTACACTGCATGGCAAAGATCACTTGAAGATTGTATCCCCTGTAAAGGTCCCGTTATAGGGTCATCCCATATTTGTCTAAAACGTACCATCAAGAGAAGAGGGCAAAAGGTTCAAAGCACGAACGGCAGCGGCGTCAAGTTTCATATATTGATTCAAATCAATGGTAGATATATGGAATCGACTAAAATTCGAGTCATCTGATAACATCTAAACAACAAGACGATATAGGGTTAGTGTCCAAACCAGCCTTTTTGGAGTTTCAATGACTAGAATACCTGTCTACTACAACCAATTACTGATGTACAATACAGTCAAGTCTTTGTAGGTTTGCATGCATGGCGATAAAACATACACTACTTTTTGTTTGTGGAAACACCACGTACATTTATTACTGCAAAGCTTTCGATCCGTAAGCCCGGATCTTCATCAGTGCTAATAATATGATTATATTATTATTGGCACTGATGAAGATCCTTCATATTATCAGCACTGATGAAGATCCGGGCTTACGGATCGAAAGCATTGCAGTAATAAATTTACGTGGTGTTTCCACGAACAAAAAGTATTACAGTCAAGTCTCTGTAGTACACAGTTCATGCAAAGGGCCAAAGCAAATTATCCGTGTTAAAGAGGTGTCTGTTTTGCTGTGGCTTTATAAATGTCAACGTGAGACGTCAGTCACGACACCTAGAAAACTCCACTGAAAGTTTTAAATGTTCGTGCAATAACTAGCAGGCCAAACGACCCAGGCTTTTAGCTGGAAGGGCACCCGGTCTATAATAAAAACAAAAACAAAAATAAAAACAAAATTACTCCCTGGGCGAAACTCATTGTCGGTTGTCCTTATTAGAGACGATTATGCTAGCTAGTTCCATAAGATATTTCCTACCTCTAGATATTTGACGATAACTGCAACACAACCCATTGCGTGGTTTAAATCAACCTCGGCTAAAATTATTAATAAATTAATAAATTATGGTTACAAATTAAACTATTATGATAACCAAAAAGTCTTCACTTTAATAGCTTACTTTTTGCTCATCAAAGCAGGTAAAGACTGCATTTGTGTTGGACGGGGCCAGCCAGAAGAAATTTACTTACGAAGGGTTGAACTGTTTCCGGAGTTGATTTTCAAAAGTCTGTTCAGATCTTGTACGATATCAACTGTAGAAAAATCACCTAAACACAATACACTAACTGGTCACTATTTCTCGTCACTAGCGAGCGAAGACACTTCGTCAGAATGTTCGTAGCGAGTAAATCACAGCGCTAACTTCCTGTCGAAACTTCCGAGTGTTTTTCATTTTTTTTCAGCAGCTTATTGTAGAAAACTACCTACACTGGATCACCACATTTGAGATATCTTTTTCAGGTAGTTTAGAGACAAACCACGGCAGCTTATTGTAGAATACTACCTACACTGGACCACCACGTTTGAGATATCTTTTTCAGGTAGTTCAGACACAAACCACAACAGCTTATTGTAGAATACTACCTACACTGGACCACCACGTTTGAGATATCTTTCATTCAGGTAGTTCAGACACAAACCACGGCAGGTTATTGTAGAATACTACCTACACTGAACCACCAAGTTTGAGACATCTTTTTCAGGTAGTTCAGACACAAACCACGACAGCTTATTGTAGTATACTACCTACACTGGACCACCACGTTTGAGATATCTTTTTCAGGTAGTTCGGACACAAACCATGGCAGCTTATTGTAGAACACTACCTACACTGGACCACCACGTTTGAGATATCTT